CTCTATATCACCAGATGAGGAAGGATAAATCTTGTTATACTGCAGCCGTTTGGATTTTACAAGAATGACACCGAGCTCTGATGATGTCCATCATATGATGGACGAAAGCTCAGCACGTTTTCAACCGAAACGAGGGAGGAAGTTTTGTAGACTGCGTCAACATGAATATCATATAAAAGCGAAACGGCTGCGGTACAACGAGATTCATCCGTCTTCGTCTGGTGAGATCAACCAAAGAATCTCTTCTTCATTCACTTTAATACGAAATAAAAGTCCTCCTAACAATATAAAAAGAGAGTCCTTAAACTTCGATGGCTGAAATCAGGTGTTACTTTTCTGTCCTCATTACTTTTAGCTATCACTGCTGGTTTCGTACAAAAGCGAACACATGCAGGTACATACACATACAAAGACAGCCACACTCACATACTTCGAGTTTTGACAAATGACTGGAACTAGCCAAATCACTTTATACCTCATCAAAGAGCTTAGATACAGAGTATATATACAGCATTTAGGGATAACGCTTTAGCTCGAATGAGGTTGTAAGGATGATACCTTACTATGATGATAGGTCATACGACGAACGAAAGCTTACCACGTTTTCACCGGAATCGATGAAGATTGCTCGGAAAGATCGTCAGCAAGAACCTTCAACTAGAGCAAATCAGCAATTGGCCAAGAGGTATCCACTGAGGCTTTCTGTTTGATCAACGTTAAAATCTTTTCACCAAACACTTACACTCGAAACCGAATTGACCAGAACTACTTGTGCTTGATGGAGAGAAGTTTGCTCACACTTTTGATCTGCCTAGAACAAGGGGGCAACTCAACCTGTATTTTTGTTTGTAGTTCTTACTACAGTCGCATTCTCTTACAAATGAGTTCACGTAATATAACTTATCAATTTATTCAGACATTATGCTTATAAAAAAAAATCAGTATGCCTAAATGATTTATTAAGGTTGGAGTATATACTCGGCATGTAGGGCTAAGATGGAAAGTATACTCAACTCGATAACTCGATATAATTTATCACTCAGCACCAAGATTGGTGATCTTAATGAAGCACAATTTTTAAGTATGGACTGGTAGCTGAGTTTTTCTACAATGGGCCGAATGGGCCTAAGGCTTTCATCCATTTCATTTAGCGTTGCCTCCTTTAAGTTTTATCGCCATGCATTTTCGACCTAGCCTAGGTCTCATCACCCCATTCCCCCTCCAACTGGATTCGAAAGCAAATCATGAGTATCGTGGTTGTGCTTCCACTCTTCTAAACAGGTACTGATGCCAGAGGATAAAAATTGGATCTTGGGTAACTAAGTTCTTATTCAAGTATTATAGATATCATAATAACTTCATCACCTCAAAAATAACTGATATCGCCTATCGCAATGGCAAATACATGTTTTTTAATCGCCAATCTGGTGAGGCCTATTTGCTTTAAATATCATATCTGCCTTGTCACTAAATGACACTCTTGGCCGTTAGGTGAGTGCTAACGGTGATACCAAGATCCTCATGACTCAGTATCGAATCTCGTCAGTTGTGCTGGTGAGACCTATACGAGGTGGAAACTACAATCCTTTCTTAATGAGATAGCCATTTGGGAAACAAGGATAAGTACGATTTTCGAAAACCTGTCTATACAGGAAATGTGAGTGAAATTCATTGGTATCCTGAGAACTACTAATCTTATTGTGAGTAAACGCAACTATTAGTGCTGAAATCAGTTTAATGTACGTTATATTAGGTAAAGCCAAACTATAGCCGGGAAAGAGACATCTGTCGTTGTCATCGTGAGACAGGCCTACGAGTCTGTTGATTATATCAGTTCACTTGGAATGGAAGTTAGTCCTGCAATGTTAATTTATAGATACAAAGAGTAACTAGATTTCAATGCATCTCCTGAAAAAATTGTTTGGGATACTTTCATTTCGTATGAAAGTGAATGAAAAAGAGATTCGAAGGTCGATCTCACCAGAAGAGGACGGCTGAATCCCGTTGTACTCCAGTTTCTTGGCTTTTATACGACTTTCACGTTGACGCAGTCCACGAGACTTCCTCCCTCGTTCATCATATGATGAACATGATTAGAGCTGGAACTCATTCTTCCAATAGGCTCGCATTAACATTTGGTCAAGATTACTGTTCAAAATGAAAGTCTCCAATAATTTTATCTTAAAAAAAATCTGAAGAATAACTTTTTCTTATATAACCTAACGCTTCATATAGATAAAAATAAAGTATGTGTCTATGTTTCTCTTCGAAAAGTGAACTTATATTGTACTCCACTGTACAGTTTTATGCTTTGCTGTCTCAATAGCACATTTGGAGGAAAAAAGGCAATTTCGATAATCTTGGTGGGTTGCCCATGCCAAACAGTTGTTACGATTTCTACAGACCTGATGCGTCATACACCAACTGGCCCCAATGAATGGACTGCTTTGTCAAGAAGTGTATCTTCTAAATTCTCCACCTCCATGCTACCAATGGGGCATGGTCTAGTAAGTGACACTAGGCAGGTATATCGCATTTTGTGAGAATATATTTCAATCGGTTTTGTACTTCTGCCTCATAGTGCCCGATTCGCAGATAAATGATTCAAGTTATGCGGAAAACTGTTTCCCAAATAATTCCTTAATAAACTCATGTTGGAATACTTGTCACTTCGTTTGAAGTGTCGAGTGGAAGGGATTCGTAAGTTGGCCTCACTGGAAGTCCCATGAGGAGTGCCTTGGAGGTGTGATTGTAGATTTGTGTGAATAAGTCCCAGGCACACCGAACTGCGATTCCGATGAATCCTTGCTAAGTTTTCGTCTGTACTGTGACAGACAGTGTCAGAGCAGAATACCATGCTTTACGGTAAGTTGCCAAGTACAAAGATAAGAAAGGTGGTTGGATGCAATACTACCTACTTTTATATGCGAAGAATAACTGGGTTTCGATTAATCTCCTGAGATAAAATTGTTGAAAAGATTTACATTTCGTATGAAAGTGCACAAAGAAGATATTCGAAGGTCGATCTCGCCATAAGAGGACGGCTGATTTCCGTAGTACTGTAGCCGTTTGGCCGTAATTCAACGTTCAGGTTGACGCAATCTACAAGACATCCTCATATGATGGACGAAAGTTCAGCCCGTTTTCATCCGAAGTGAGGGAGGAAAGTGGTATTAAAGCAGAACAGCTACAGTACAACGACGATAAGCCGTCGTGAGATCGATCTTCGAATCATTCCTACATGCACTTTCATGCGAAATGAAAGTATCTCCAACTAGTTTTTATAATTTAGCTAGGTCGACTCAATGAACTATCTCATGATTTCGATGGACATCCTATGCTTTTCCTACATCTTGTTGAAAAGTAAAGCTGACGCAAATGAAGCGTGACGTCTGTCACATGACGAACGAAAGCTCAACAAGGATTCATCGGTGTGTTACGGACCTATTCGCATAAATGTACAGTTACAGCCTCAAAGTAATCCCCTACATAAGTGGGTTGACCTCGTTGTCGCAACTTGGTCTTGTTGTCAGGGCGACTTAGTAGAACGTACCTAGTCCGAAGTCGTCTGTCATAGCAGTTGTCATGATTCCCAGCATCAGACAATGGACTCGGCGCCGATGATGCTGACTACGATGCCGGCGAAACGTTTGAGAATTTACCGAGTCCACTGTCTGATGCTGGGAATCAGGACAACTACTATGACGGACGACTTCGGACTAGGTACGTTCTACTAAGTCGCCCTGACAACAAGACCAAGTTGCGGCAACGAGGTCAACCCACTTGTACGAATCGAAAGGAGACTGCGACCATACCAAAAGACATAACATCTTGGTCTTCATATCTTTAATCGCCTACAGCTTACAGTGAGGCCAACGTACGAATCCCTTCCACTCGCCTCTTCAAACAAAACGATAGAGACCTTAACGTGAATGCTTTCACTTCCTCGATCTTCCCTTTGCTGTGACTTGCGTATGGGGGCAGTTCACTTCACATCCTCTTCCCTCTGCTCCCGAGGCTGTCAGTGATGGCAGCCGACAAAGAGTTGCCGCCCTAGTCGGGATGAGCCTTCGTCGACCTGGCAACATTATGCTGCCGACTGAAGCTACAGTCACTCCACTGCCACTAGAGACGTCGGCAGGGAAGCCTCGGATGAACCTTGGAGTCATCCATTTTTCATATCAAGCCGATCGTGTACGCACTCAACGTTAAACAGAAGCGTTACCTGAGCGTATTTATGGACGAGCCAGTCACGAATAAGTGATGTAATTAGGAGGGGACCAGGCTATAATGCAAGTCCTCCTCTTCAAAGGCATCAAAGAAACGGACTTCACAGCTTACCTGTTCCCCTACGATCGTGTGTGCAGGAGACCATTTAAAGTCGAGCCTCACATGTTCGTCGTCGCCTGCATTCGCAGCTGTCTGCACGTCTGTGCGCACAAGGTTAGGCGTGTTGGTGTGTTTGCGTGTTCTGTGAGGTGTTGACGAGGGGTATTTTGCTGTTGAAATGAAGCTTCTCCACAAAGCTGTGTATGCTTGCACAGCACACAGAAAAGTTGAGTCCGTCTGCTACACAAAAGGCATAAAAACACAAAAGCTCAAGGCACAAAGCACAAAGCACAAAGCACAAGAGCACAGAATACACGTTATCGCTGAGAGGATTGTGAGAAAAGAATGAAGTCTCGTTCGGACTTTGATTTCTCTCCTCTCGACGTTTGATCACTTTGCCTTTGTCACACGCGTCTTACTTCTTTCTGTTTTGCCCTCGCGACGCTGAGGGATCGCGAGCGCACACACGTCCGCGAGCAGGGAGTCCAGTCGACGAGGGCTCGAATGCAGCCTCGAGAGTCGGTGTGAAATTGTCGGCTTGCGATAATGTGTGTACTCTTGTAGGGACGACGTGAGAAGGGAATCCCTCGCAGACAGACTCACAAAGGAGGCACAAGTGAGGTATTCGGGCTGTGAGTGGGGCAACAGAAAAATGCCCAAATCTACTCACACACACACATCTTCTTCGTCGGTACAAATACAAGCACACGATAGTCTACATAAACAAACACCGGACTTAGACCAAACAAGGTACCGGTTGCCAGGTTATGCCCAACTTGTGGCCTGGAGACTGCGCGCGCTTGTTGAACGATCACAAAAAGGGAGTGACCAGGCTCTGTAGAAGCGGAGGTTGAGTCAAGACGACCAGAGTAGCCGGGGGAAAGAGGGCGAATGCGGACAGACAGACGGACATGCAGCTCAAGTCGCATTTGTCCGCGGACAACGAGTTGGGGAGGAGTGAGTAAAAGGGCTGATGCTAAAATTCGTTCGCGCATGAGTGTATGTGCATTGATAGATGGAGCCAAAAGGAGGCGGCAGGCTGTACCTTCAAGTAGGGAAGGTGTGCAAAAAGTCAAGGGCTCCTTGAACACGTCCGTCCCTGCAGTTCTCCCCATTTCGGCCGTCACAAAGTTATGGGGTGGTGTGCTCATCTGTCACTAGTACTGCAAGCGTTGCCACTACCCACAGGATTGTATGCTTGCGGAGATGTTCCTATCCCTGCGTCATGACCCACTGTCCGGTAGTGATGAGAAGCCGTTCTTTGCTGATAAGACCAGTCGCCGGACGCACGATTGGACTCATTTTAATGTCCCCTTTCTTGTCGTCCAATCACCTCTTTGTCTTTATACCTCTATCCCGCTTGCGTTTGTCTTTCGCCTTGAGCATGTCTGCAAAGGAGCCATGCTAATTGAAGTTCTGATCTCTCTTTCTACCGCAAACAGATACCTCCCAGTTGTCCCCAGCCCTGGCATGCACACATACACCTACACAGGTAGACGCAGCAGTGTGTATATCTGCAATATCGGGTAGTTTAATTTGTTTAAACTCCCAAAAGGAGGGAATTCTGTCTCGACGGTAGCACATAATGGGAGTCTAGGTGACGCCTTGTCGGTTGGCTTTGTGTTAATTGAAAGGTGGCGTTAGTGGGTATGCATGTCTGCTGACCTAGTTGTGTGTTTGTAATGCTCGTCTGGCCTCTCTAACCCTGGGCAATACTAGACCGCAAACCGGACAAGTTGTTACGTTCATGTCATCTGTTGGGCGTGTGTCCAAGTCCATTCAATAGCTCATTCTCCCTAACCACACTTTATAATCCTACAATCCCTCGTCTTCCCCTTCACAGAGCCTACTCGCTCATCCCCTTTTGCTCAGGGTTTTTTGTCCAACCATCCGTTTCCCTCGTTTCTGTTCGCGCTGAGTTCGCCTCTCTTCAGAGTTGTCTTGACAATGCCAGACCGACAATCGTCTGCCTATTACCTTCTTTGAAAGGCTCGTTGAACAGATGACCTTCCCGCGACAGGGTAGAGAACTGTCGCGCCTTGAACCACACCACAGGCGCCTTTTTCTTTGATTCATCACTCTATCCACCTTTCTCGCTCTGTACCCTTTCCCAACAATCCTACCCACCATTCGCAATCCCTAACCCCTGCTCACTTTCAGCGCACTAACGAAAGCCCACAAAACCTCGCTTGCAGAGGCCACAGGTCCGAGTCTCGTGTCGGGACCCTATCTGTCCGCAGTGTGAACGAATCAGAAGACGGCAAAACCATCCCACGGTCTGGCTACAGCTGGATCTCTGCTTCTACTTGCAG